GGGTTTTTTTTTTTTTGGGTGGGGGTCTCACCAAGCCGCCCCCCTCGCCCCCCAGCTCTCGGGGCTGCGGATGTCGACGAACGAGATGATCCTGAGCCACCTCTTCACCCAGGTCTGGGGGGATTTGGGGGGTCCCAAAGTCAGGGGTCACTCAGGGGTCAGGGGTCACTCAGGGGTCACTCTGGGGGTCCCCAGGACGAGCTGGCGGCCGCCCCTCCCCCCGTGGGGCGTGTCCGGGAGCACCTGGCGGCCACGCCCAACCCCGCCCTGCTCTGGAGCATGTACACCAGGTGGGGGCGTGGCCTGGGGGGCGTGGCCTGCCCATGGGGGCGTGGCCTGACTCGGGGTGGGGTCCGGAGGGGGCGTGGAGGGAGGGGCTAAAGGAGTGGGTGTGTCCTGGGAGGGGGAGGAGTCACAAAGGGGTGTAGTCATGGTGGGCGGGGCCACAAAGGGGTGTGGCCAAAAGAAGAGGGCATGGCTAAGGAGTGGGTGGGTCCATTTAGGGGCGTGGCCATGGAAAGAGAGAGAGGAGTCATGAAGGGGCGTGGCCATGGCGGGTGTGGGTTACAAAGGGGCGTGGCTACGGAAGGAGGGGTCCAAAATGGGCGTGGCTAGGGAGGGAGAGGTCAGGAAAGGGCGTGGCCGTGGTGGGCGGGGCTAAGCCCAGGCCACGCCCCCTCAGCCGCGGTGACCTGGGCCTGGAGCGGAGCGGGGCCGGGAGCCTGCGGTGAGTGACCTTTGACCCCACGTGTGACCTTTGACCCCTGCGTGACCTTTGACCCACGTGTGACCTTTGACCCCGCCCCCAGCTGCCCCGTCCTGCTGGTGGTCGGTGACTCCGCCCCCCACGAGGACGCCGTGGTGAGTGGGGGCGGGGCCTGGCGGGAGGGGGGCGTGGCCTTGTGGGCGCATCCGCCCTGACCCCGCCCCCCTTTCCTCGGCCACGCCCACAAGGTGGAGTGCAACGCCAAGCTGGACCCGACGCAGACGTCGTTCCTGAAGGTGACCTTTGACCCCGGGTGACCCCGGGGTGACCCCTGGCCCCGGGGTGACCCCTGGCCCCGGGGTGACCCCCGGCTGACCAATCAGAGGCCGCCTTCCCTTTGCAGATGGCCGACGGGGGCGGGCAGCCGCAGATCGCCCAGGTGAGGGGGCGTGGTCAGGGCTGGGGGGCGTGGTCATGGCTCGGGGGGGCGTGGTCAGTTATCGGGGGGCGTGGCCAGCGCTGACCACGCCCCCTCCCCGCAGCCCGGCCGCCTGACCGAGGCCATCAAGTACTTCCTGCAGGGCATGGGCTACAGTGAGTGACGGCCGCTCATTAATATGCATGAGGGGCTCGTTAATATGCATGAGGGAGCGTCAGTCTGCAGGAGGAGGGGTTAATATGGGTGGGCGGTCGTTAATATGCATGGGAGCTCATTAACATGCACGACAGATCGTCAGTGTGCACATCAGCTCATTAATGTGCACGGAGGGTCATTAATATGCGTCAGGATTCATTAATATGCAAGAGGGAATCGTTGGTATGCAGGAGCGATTATTAATTTGCAGCAGGGCTCATTAATATGCATGGAAGCTCATTAACATGCAGGGCACATGAAGGGCGTGGCTTGGGGAGGGGCGTGGCTTGGGATTAGGGGGCGTGGCTGAAGGGAGGGGCGTGGTTTAATTATGAACAGGCGTGGCTTAGAGAAAGGGGCGTGGTTTATTTACGAATGGGTGTGGCTTAGAGAAAGGGGCGTGGCTTAATGCAAACAGGCGCGGGTCACACGAAGGGGCGTGGCTTAATGGGGAGGAGGCGTGGTTTGCACAAAGGGGCGTGGTTTAATGGAGAAGGGGCGTGGCTTGGAGAAAATGGGTGTGGTTTACATTGAGGGGTGTGGCTTACTGGGAAAGGGGCGGGTCTCACAGGGATGGGGCGTGGCTCACAGGGATGGGGCGTGTCCCCAGGCAGGGGGCGTGGCTCAGAGCAGAAGGGGCATGGCTTAGAGAGGAAGGGGGCGTGGCTCAGCGGGAAGGGGGCGTGTCTCAGAGGGAAGGGGGCGTGTCTCAGAGGGAAGGGGGCGGGTCTC